CTCCGTAATATTATTGTAAATAAAAAGCAGTTTTTGTTATAAGTAAAGTAAACTAATACATTAACTAAGACTACTACATTATTTTGAGAAATTTCTTCAAAGAAGAAATTTACCTTTCAAAAAAATTCTTTCTGACATAAAAACATAATTTCTGAGTGCCAGGTTATATATGTGCATGTTATGCTAAAGTACGGATTACTAGTTATATTATAAAATTTCTAGATAGTAACATTTACTTTGTTATATATTAATATATTTTACAACTCTCACTTACACTATTGTCGCCCACTCACGTTATGCTTAGTTGACTGGAAGGAAAATCTTATCTATATATATCTATCTATGTATATAATATGTTTCCAATTACTATTATTAAATTAGGAATGTAATAAAGAATATAATAACAAAATTAGACCTCACCTGTCATCCTTTCTATCTTTCATATACCCATCGAATATCCTCAGATAACCCTCTACGCTTTTAGTTTTCCCGGCGTGGGTAATGAATCAAAGGATTCATTATTCACGCCTCAATGTCATAGAAAGCCGCTACCTATACTATAATTCGTTTAGTGTCTACCTTTTTAGAACACATGCCGTTTTGTTTAAAGTATATAGATGAATATATATATTCAAGGGTATATATATTTATCTATAACTGTATTGAATATTATACATATTCAATACAATACTTTATCAGACACGTATAGCAAAAATAGTAAAACCTACAATCCAGTTATATCTAACGAATACCTCCAGCACAGATTCTGTGCTTTTTATAACATTTTCTATGGTCTATTGGATTTTACTGTAATTTTATGCACGTGTGGTCAGCGCATAAATAACTTATTTATATTTATTTAAATATCATTAGGTATACACATTTACAACCAATGCTTAAACTAACATTATCATTACTATCATCCTAATCATGTGATGTGAAATCTATAAATGTCGTTTGGTACCCACTTCTTTTTTTAAGGTAATATTTTGATCCAACTACTAACAAAAGAAACCGTCGAAGTTCTCAATTCGACGGCATGTTTTAGATGTATTTCGAAAATCAATATTTTATTCTGAATAAAAATTGTACTATAATATTAAACTTGTTCAATATTATTAAAAATACAAGTTTCGATCTGTTTGTGATTGTGTTAGTCACGGTAACGTATTTTACTTTTGGAACCCTAAATAAATAAGTTTCAAGTGAGGTCTGAGAATCATTCTTAACTATGCTATAGCGAGCTACGAAAGATATACCTCCACATTTCGATGGACTTCGAAATTCTATTTAATTAGTGTAGCTATCTAAACCACTCACTGATCATTATTGGGATAACCCAATGGTGGGGACGTAGCAATATCCTGTAAGAGATGCCTACTACTATTTATATTAGCTTAGTATTATTACCCCTGTTACCAAGCGGCTTTATATAGGCTTATATTTCAAGTTTTCCTTCTTTTATTCTGATGTACCTATGTAGGGTTTACTATGTTCTTTTCATCTCTTCTTTTGGTTTCTAAATAATTGGTGACCTCCTTTAAAGAATAGATAGAAATACATATACTAACACTATAGTTAAGTATTAGATTATATCCCAGGGGTAGACAGATGCAATGACAGCATCGTTCTTGTAAAAGCTGGGTACACTGTACGAATAAGAACTATGAGTAGTATAGAGATACTAATATGGTACTGTTCATGTGTTTCTAAGCCACGGTTACCACTTACCATCAGGTGGACCACCAGATTGTTTGCCAATTGAGTTACATTAAAAAAAAACCTATTCAAAACGAATTGCACCATTTACAAAATCCCCGGTTATGAAAATAAATGAGGTATCACATTTCCAGCCAGCCAGAGAGAAAACGTTATATTTTATTGACTTGAAAAGTTGTAGGCACAGTGTAATATCACGTCAAAAAACGCCCACGCTCCGTGAAATATTTAATACTAAGGTATACTGGTAAAGCTGTTGGATAAACGCTAGTAAATAGGTATGTACACATTGCGGTGAATAGTGCCCCGTGGAGAATACCCTTCGACATAAAAGTAAACAGTTTCGCTTAATATCCTCGTAATACTAAAAACCAGTCAAGACCGTAGCCGTGGCAGACAAGATACATATGGATCTGTGACTATGTTTTAAGAGTAATTTCTATATTCTTGCACGGCATCACAATATGATAACGGTTCTTATACCAGATGAAGCCGTCAGAAGCTATTAAACTGTGGACGTAATGGTGAACTCAAGTCTTGACATGCCCATAGTTCGCTGGGTATATTTAAATGTAATGTGGCAATGGGCGAGCCTACTCTCGTCGGTGTTTCCATCACATGAAATTTTTGTCAATAAATAAAATAATTTACGACTTTTGTCTCAATCAGATTCAAACTCCATGTCCATTAGATGTAAATCGAAATAGTACATACACTATATGGCTACAACGTAGTCAAATTTAACATTATTGTATTCTAATTGTAAGGTTTGCAGATTTTACTCTTAACTAGCTGTACCCGCGACTTCGTCCGCGCGGAATTTACATCTTACTCCTTATTACATTAGCTACCTGCCAAAAAATCCCATCAAAATCGATCCAGCCATGTCAGAGATTAGCCGGAACAAACAGACAAAAATAGAAAAAAACGTTATTTTGGTTTATGTACCGTATGTATGTTCGTATGCATATAGTAAAAACTGTTATTTCAATATTACAAACAGACACTCCAATTTTATTTATATGTATAGATAATAATAAAAACAAAAAAAATAGAGTGTCCTTGGCGTTCATATTCGAAAGTACCTCTTAATATGTCATTAGATGACTAATATGTATTCTCCTTTATAATTAAAGTGTCAGAAGTAATTTTGTACAGTCTTATTTACAGAGAGCCGCCATAAAGGTTTAATTGTAATATCACGTACAGCTTAGGAACTTGCTCCTATAGTAAGATTAGGTATGGAAGAGGGACAAACACCTATTTAGTCAATATTGCAAATTATGTAGTAGGTATATAAACAAAGAAACCAAATATTTATTATCGCTATATTAACTAATGTAGACAACGCAAGAACTGGTCTTAGATAAAGAAATTGTAAGTAATATGCAATATTCTTAATTGGGATATTTTAGTAATTGAGTAAAATTTAAATGAAAATAAAAATTCTGTATGATTATATTATATGTATGTATGTTATATATTATTATGTATATGTATATATATTTAATATATTTTTGTTTAATTAACTAAACCGCCTTCGAGAATCCCTGCTCTCTAAGGTTGGCTGGTAGAGAATGCTAATAGCATTAAGCCCGCCTAATGTAGAATTAAATAAAGTTTATATAAGTAAATAAATAAATAAATTATTGAAAATAGTTATAATACTACTTTTCAATACACTGCATCAAGTTCTAGTGACTGCTCACTTTGAGCCTGCGACATTTAACCAATATTATAGGTCAGTCTAGATCTTCCCTTAGAGATCATGATGGAATAGAAGTCGTCCGGTACTGTATACCCTTTTAATTTAGCGTTGTATGTTTATACATCATCCAACATTATCTCTACCAGAATCTTTTCAAGTAAATTAAATAACATTTAACTATAGTGAACTTATTAAAATAAAAAGGGAAATCTACTTAGAAGTTCTTGTTTTTACTGCGACACTTGGTTATAAACGAATTCGCTCTCTGACAGTTATTAGTGTATAGTATTTTGTCAAGACCCAGTAGATAATGAGTAATTGTTATTTCTACTGAATCTTACTAATATTATAAATGGATGGATGGATGTTTGTCACTATTATTCATGCAAAAACTACTAAACAGATTTTAATGATATACTTTATAGATTAGAGTAAAACATAGGCTATAAATTTCACACGGGTGGCCCTATAGCGCAGTATGTAATAAAACTCGTGGAATTAATGCAAAATTTACCCATTACAATATTTAATAGAGCAATATTGATTTATTATTGAAATAATTCGGTTACGCAATACTATCCCTACATTTCTATATTAATAAAAAAATTACAATGTCTAATAAAAATAAAAATGTATTCATTTACACTATACAATAGCTGTAACTAGGTAGATTAACGCCACCCACATAAATATCCTAGAAGAGTACTTTTAGAGTGGGTGTATCATACATTACAAAGCCTACGTGGGTGTATGTAATAGCAATATTTTCCTACCTGTACTTAGTGTCGGTACTAATCAATCTTCGTAATGGTTCTTTGTTAAGTATACTTTATATACTTTAACAACTAAAGAAGGATTATTAATTTATCTATATTTCTGTGTAGGCATATTACGCAATAAACTAACATGTGAACAAAATAATTACTCTTATGTTTTGCCGTATACTAACAAATTGAAGACAGATTATTTGAAGGAAATATACTTTTAAACAACTAAAGTTTTCATTAAATAGCACGGTAATCTTTAACACCAGATGCTATTCTATATCTGTTAACTGTTGTATTAATAACCAGAATAGATTTAAATCTTTGTTATATTATTAAACTGAAGTTTGTTTGAACGAGCCAATCTCAAGAACTATTTGTTAGAATTTTTTAGACACACTTATCAAAGAAAGTTAAGATATTATATACAGCCTCGGTGGTCTAGCAGTTTAGCACTCCACCTTACTTCCGATGGTCGCGGGTTCGATTCTTCGCACGGTATCAATATTTGTATCCATGAATATGTTTAGCTCTGGGTGTTTTATACGTCATATACATATGTAGGTATGTAACTAAAATTACATTGTAAGTATTTCTAATAGTTGTGTAGTCCCCGTAAAATAATCTCTACTTAGCTTGGGACTAGATAGAGCAGTGTGAATTATCCAGAGATATTACATATAAATATTATACAAAGATCTCGCTACGAGCGGATGAGCAATGAAAAATATTCCAAAAACGGGGATAATGTAACTCAGCCGAAGGTACGCGGGTTAAATACGATCGTATATATTTGTATATAGACTTACCTGAATTCTCAGCAACGGGTGCAGCCAGGGCATAAGATAAACCCAAGAGCAGCAATGCTGTTGCTAATTTGCATCTCTTAAAAACAGCCATCGTGGTCTGTAAACAAAATAAACTGTATGATAGACTTGAACGTTTTCGAAATTGTACTATAATAGAAAAACAGAACTAACGTAAATTTTGATAATTCATTAAATCTTATTTCTTTTTACAATCCATAGAGTTTTCGTCGTTGGTCCCATATTAAATATTATGATAAATAAAAGGTGAACTCTTAAATCTAAAGGTAAACGATGACTGATTTGCTGCCACCATAAAAAACTTACTCTTTTCAGTTAAGTTGAATTTTTACGTACGTATTACGCTGATCCAAAATAAATGAGATAAGGAAGAAGCAGATGATGAAGAGGAGTAGACAGGTAGCAAGCCAGAACTACTAGACAAATTCTAAAAATCTTTCCATTGTGGAAATATCATAAAAATATCAATAGGTACATCCATATAAGCCTATATAATTATTTATTCAGAAATTATCACGAGAATAGGAGAGAAAATACCTGTTTTCTCTCGGGGTTTTCTTCTAGTATATATTATAATGAAGGGACTAATTTAATAAACCTTGTAGTTAATGAACTATTGATTTCATAAGCTATCAATAAGATCGACTTGTAACGAGCTAAATAAGCCTTCACTACACGTGGAGTGAGTCATTACATCTTTCAGAAGGATAATATCTGATCGTAATGTCGACGTATATAACTATGAGTAGTTTGATATTATAGAAGTTTTTTATTGACACTGTGGTACTTCCATCTTTTTAAAAGTATAGCCAGATAGTGTCGAAGTGTCAAGTACAGTCACAGGCGATGTCAAAAGTATTATTGATATTGGTTAGTTTACAACTTAAGAACTTTGCCTGATCAACAAGGACCTTTGATAAGAAGACATAATTCAAAATCTCTTACAAAATTGTACACTCATGTACAATTTTGTAAGAGTTTGTGATGTCCAAGTATATGTTGATTTTTTTAAGATGTACAATTTTGTTCTACGGACCTTTATGAATAAATTTTCAGTGCAACTAAAATTATATTAGGCATTGTTCACGTTTATATATATATAGCGACATAAGAAACCACACTCAAAGTCACTTTTTCAGATAGAATGTATATGCAATTAGTAATAATTAAACATAATCATCTGCTTGACCTGAGCTTATTTTTAAAACGATTAAACATTTTAAGGATGTCCTTTAATTGTAACTCTTCTCTCACCATGTATGTAGAAACTAGGCAACAATCCATAAATCACAATATATTAATAGTAATCATAAGTAGGAAATGAATAAAGATGAAGGAAACTGTCGGAGGCTAGACTGAAGACATATCAATGCACCTTATTGCTAAGTACTATTGATTTTCGATACTCTACGTCATACGTTTTATTGAAGCGTAATCAGTCGAACTGTCTGGACAAAAAGAATACCTATGGATTTTTACATCCTTCTTGGACGGGTTTTTTCTTACCTACGTGTTGTAATTTACAATGATGTCTCTCAAAACATGTCCATTTAGAATAGAAATAATATCAAGCGGATATTTTTATTAATTTATTTTATATTATTTTAAAATACAAATATAAACATTTGCTGGATTCTATTTAACATATAAATACATTAAATTGTAATAACATTAATTGTAAGGCATAAAATAAAAACATAATTAAAAATATGCAATACGCGGTATATTCTGAAATCTAAGTTAAAGTTAAGTCTAAGTATAGTTAATTAATGTAGGTAAATAACAATGTTGGTACACTGTAAAACCCGTTAATAACAAATAATAATTTATTTTGTTTGTTTATACTTAAGTTTCAAACTATTAAGTGCTTCAACCTCTAATCAACAAGTTTTCTAGATCCACACCATGAAAAGTTTATTTGTGAAAATGTAAAAATTCTATCAGACTCAATTTACATACACAACATGTAACATAAAGATATAAAATAATATAGACATAAAAGAAACAAGCTACTGAAAATTGAAGGTCCATAACACGATATGTCGATAAGGTCCCCCACACACGACCCTCGTTATATACTGCTGACAGCTCGGATGACACTGACACCTGACACTTGCACGAATTGTGCTAATGTTGGATCATTTCTTCCCAAACAAAGCTACAAAGTTAATGTATGTACCTGTTGCACGTTTATCACGTTTCTTTAAAATATGAAATAAATATTATTTATTTATTTTGAATTAATTGACAAATTTAACAAAGCTATAACTAAAGATTATACATTGGACCCCCATTAGACGAACCTGTATCGCGAGAGATACAAAATAATTGCCAGATGGTTTTTAACTATTACACTCATGATTACTACTAATACAATATCATTAATTATTAAAAATCATTGAGTACAATAGAGTTGACACATCATAAGAGTCTGCACTAGACCCAGCCCTCTATCTCATCTATTTACTTCCGACGGTTGCGGGTTCGATTCCTCGCACGGTGTAAAGATTTGTATTTATGAATATGATTGTTTGCATCAGTCTGAGTCTATATATATTATGTAAGCATTTGGATAATCAATCCATGAATGCAAGTATTAAGGTTTTTAGAACCCATAACTAAAGCTTTCGACTTGATCAATTTTTGTCTGTCTTTGCATCTATGCATGCTAATCTCAGAAACAGCTTAATCCATAGAAGTGCAATTATTACGAAAATATTCATCATTCAAGCTTCAATTAAAATTTAGTGTTTATTTTAATCCAAACAATTTACAAACAAAATTATGTTAAACTATAGTTATTCAGAATACGGTACGAAGTCCCGGGATCCACTATTTATTCAATAAGAGATATCACAACTCAGTAGTATTATTAGAACGTCTCATACAGTTCTAATATGCGCATTTATGATGTTAAATTTACAACACAACAAAAACTTCTACATGGAAGCCGAACATTATGTGTTTAAACTTTGCAGAGATATTATTTAAATTTCCCAACGTTCCTAGACTATGAAAACCACGTTTGTGAGCAAAGTTTGCAGGTACAAATATTTCATAAAGAATAATTGAAATATTTTCCTTTTTTTCATATACGGCGATAAACGTAGTGGAATTTTTGTTTATGTATAAAAACAACAAAGGGCTTGCGTATTTTTCTTCTTATGGTGTCTACAGTTACAATAAATTACCTTTAATACTAAAGTTCATAAGTAATTTCCTAATTTCAGAAACCTGATAGATTTTTAATAGGTATATAATATAATATTAATAATCTAGGATAATTTACAATACGTCATCTAGTCCCAGACTAAGCAGACCATGTACTACGGGTACTAAAAAGCTAATAGAAATACTTAAGAAAGAATTTCAAATATTATACAGATATGGTAGATTGAAAACACCTAGACAAATAATCATATCCATGAATACAATTCTGATATATAAGCATATTATTCTGATATATAAGTTATATTACTGTCACTGTTAAAGTTTCATCAAAATCCGTTCAGTAGTTAAGTTTGCGTGAAAGAGTAACAAACATCCATTCATCCATACTTACAAGCTTTTACGATTGTAATATGAGTATGATAATCTTAATTCTTCAGATACAAAAGAGGTCGTAATGATTGGCAATAACACAATTTGTAAAGTAACTCCATAACGATCTCTACTAAAACAACTACTTTATCGTGAATTAATAAAAAGTTATTACCATCCAGACCGGTAATAAAATACTGGCGTTTTCATCACTCTCCTAAACTTTTTTCGCTAAAAATTATATAAAAATTTTTGAAACAATTTTTATATGGAGAAAAGTAGTTTTAGTATCTAATTTATGCTTAAAAGTTACCATACAAACTACCTAGCAATTATGACATTTACACATTCAAATACCGATATATTTGTATACTTCTAGATAGAGTTGCCAATTCATTATGCAGTACTGAATAAAAAGCGAATCAGTAAATAGAGAGGGAATTGATATAGATAGTAAACGAAAGTTGAAAAGACTATTCAAACATTGAAGAATAATCGGTCTACAGTCTACAATTTAAATAGGGCAAATATCTACGCAGCATTATAGATTTTAAGCTTTGTTACCGGTTTCTCTTAGTAGGTTTCACCGGGAGCTGATGTTCTGGTGACCCAGTTCACGGAACGTCGACCTATTTACCAGAGGCCCTGTTGCATCCACATTGTACATAGCCAGTATACCGGGCTTTGATTGACACGTGATTAGAACAACGGTAGCAGAGATTAAAGGCAGGCATTGTTATTAAAACTACTTAAATTAAATCTGTTGTCTTTAGTATACTTTTCAATGCAAATTAGGCTATTTGCAGTGTAATTAAAGCCTACTTATTTGTAATCTTTCAGGCACTATTAATATTTATCCGGTGGTACGAGACGACGACTGGCGTGAGACTCGTGACCACGACTAGTAACAACCTAGTCGAAATGTTTTAAAACCCGATATTAATAAAGAAAGCATAATTTTTCATTATTTTATATGTATTAATATGAGTCATGGATGGACAATATAAGGCTGCTTTTCTTGTTTCTAATACTCATTTTGAGTTTTAATATGTTTTCAAATTATATATATATATAGAATCTTTACTTAAACTAATTGTTTGCTTAAATGAATATAAAATAAAATAATTGGCTATACATATTTAGTGTTAAATTATTTTGTAACATAGAAAAATGAATGATATACAATTTTTATATACATATTTCGATTGAGATATTCTTACTTTGGTAAGTAATAAAAGTTTCAAATTGAAAGTAAATCCCTTACAGAAGACAGTTTTCTAGCTATGCATAGCTAGCAGATAGACTTCGGAACTGTGTCTGTGGAAGTTTCAGTCTAACTGAGATCTACATCAGCACTGCGGCGAAATTTGTTCTTGTTGTAAACTTAGCCGATTTGGGGCAAAGTTAGTAACTAGATTAATATCAAGACAGAGTACTTTTGATTGGTACAAACATCAGATCGATCAATATAGTGAGGCGGTGGAAAAATCCGTACAAATCAGCGGACTGACTTATCGAATCCGGATCTGAACTATTTAG